CTTGATAACAAATTATTACGTAAATCATTACATAATGAGACAAATTTCAACAAATGTGAATTTACGGTAAAATTCTGTGAATTCATCAATTTAATTATTAATTCTGTGTAAGATAGCTGATCAAAATCGACAAAATTTTGTTGGATTTGATCGTAGAATTTCTCCCTTGGGATTGAGTATTTTGGACAATGGAAGAGAAAATGAAATTCGTCTTCAATTATACCAGAGTTACAAATAGGACAGAGTCTATCGTTGCGGGAAGTTTGATTATATCTTCCAGTTTCAATCATGAGTTTGTGGTTAGTTATACGAATTTTCACTAAATCTTTCCTATTCGCAGAATTTCTAATTAAGTCTAGATAACTTGAAATTTTATAATCATGTTTAAATAAGCTGTAAAATTGTAGTTTCTTAGAATGATGGATTGTATGTTGCCAATATGCAATATATTTTTGTTTTATTATGTCTATATAGTGTTTGATCTTAGCTTCACTTAAATTATTAGGATCAAAATCAGGGAGGTCATAATATTCAGATATTTTCATAAGATTATTGTAAAAGCTATTTTTACCATTACAGTGAAGTTCTAGCGAAGTACGAAAGGCTTGTTTAACAATAGTATCCTCGTTTTTACGCAGAAGATACAATATGTAATAAAGGATGTTTTTATAAATATTAATAATTAATGGAACCGTCCCAATTCACTTCTACTTGCAACATTGGAAGCTTTATTGCTTATTTCTAGGTAACGCTTGCAAAATTTCAAGTGGGTTTTTTCAATTGGGGTATTGTCCCAAGCTTTAAAATCATGTTTTACATATACACCCCAAATTTCGCTATTATATGATAATATCGGGGAAATCATCGTTTCAAATATTTTGCAAGCAAGAGAAGGTTTTAATTTGCTAAAGTTTGTGTGTTTTCTTAAACTAAAAAGAGCATGAAGAGCCTTCTCCTTCAGGTGTTCGAGGAGATATTAAAATTACCGGTTGAGGAGATACGGGTTCCTAAATATGTATATTCATGGACAGTATCAATGGTTTCTTTACCTATATGGAATTCTAGATTGGAGTTTTTCTTCGCTCGTTTTGAAAGACCATAACTTTGGTCTTTTTGGAATTTATATCTAGCATCCAAGAGTTGCAAAAGAGGATAATGTGTTGAGACAGTTCTGCAATCCGATTTTAGATCGTGATATAATAATTAAATCATCAGCATATAAAAGCGAATTTAATTTGGTACCATTTGGAAGGATGATAGGGTCTGATAAAGTATTTTGAAATGCGGACGGTAAGTTATTAACGTATAAATTGAAAAGTAAGGGGCTTAAAATACAGCCCTGGCGTACGCCCCGTGAGAAGCTAAAAGATTTTGTTTGACTCGTACCTATTTTCAATGCACACGAAGAGTTTGAATATAGGTTTTGGATTAACTTATATAAAAGTCCGTCATGCCAGACTGAGTCAAAGGCTTTTCTAAAGTCAACAAAACAAGCGTATACTTTCTCACCGTGACAGTGTACGTACTTGTCTATAAGAGTTCGTAATGTTAGGAGGTGGTCTGATGTTCGATTTTTAGGTAAGAAGCCGATTTGAGACTTATGGAGTATGTTCAGCGAAGTGACGTGTTCAAGAAGTCTTTGGTTTAAAATTGAAAAGTATGGTGGCCGATATAGGCACTACACAAAAATAATAGATGGCAAAACGTACACAAACTTAGAAAAAAACATGCAAACTTAATAAAACGCATGCAAACTTAGTAAAGAGCATGCAAACTTAGTAAAGAGCATGCAAACTTAATAAAATGCATGCAAACTTAATAATACGCAAGCAAACGTAATAATACGCATGCAAACTTAGTAAAGAGTACACAAACTTAATAATACGCATGCAAACTTAGTAAAGAGCAAGCAAACTTAATGATACGCAAGGAAACGTAATAATAAGCATGCAAACTTAGTAAAGAGTATGCAAACTTAATAAAACGCATGCAAACGTAGTAAAGAGCATGCAAACTTAATAATACGCATGCAAACTTAGTAAAGAGCATGCAAACTTAATGATACGCAAGCAAACGTAATAAAACGCATGCAAACTTAGTAAAGAGCAAGCAAACTTAATGATACGCGTGCAAACTTAGTAAAGAGCATGCAAACTTAATAATACGCGTGCAAACTTAGTAAAGAGCATGCAAACTTAGTGATTTGTTAAATTAGCGCACGTTTTAGTACGTTTGCACAAAATTAAGTTTGTATGCTCTTTGTTAAGGTGGCGCATGTTCCGTTAAGTATGAAAGCGTATTATTAAGTTTACACGCGCTTTATTAAGTTTGAATGCGTATTATTAAGTTTGAATGCTCTTTACTAAGTTTGCATGCATATTATTACGTTTGCTTGCGTATCATTAAGTTTGCATGCTCTTTACTAAGTTTGCATGCGTATTATTAAGTTTGCATGCTCTTTATTAAGTTTGCATGCGTATTATTAACTTTGAATGCTCTTTACTAAGTTTGCATGCGTTTTATTAAGTTTGCATGCGTATTATTAACTTTGAATGCTCTTTACTAAGTTTGCGTGCGTTTTATTAAGTTTGCATGCGTATTATTAACTTTGAATGCTCTTTACTAAGTTTGCGTGCGTTTTATTAAGTTTGCATGCGTATTATTAACTTTGAATGCTCTTTACTAAGTTTGCACGCGTATCATTAAGTTTGCTTGCTCTTTACTAAGTTTGCCTGCGTATTATTAAGTTTGCATGTGTTTTATTAAGTTTGCCTGGGTATCATTAAGTTGACATGATGTTAATTAAGTTGGGGTGTTTTTTGTTAAGTTTGTATACGTTTTCCCATCTATTATTCGTCTTATGTCTATATCGGCCACCATAGAAAAGAACAACTTTCCTAGACAACTAGAAACACAAATCCCGCGGTAATTTGATGGGTCATTTCTTATGCCAGATTTAAATATGGGAGTTATAAGACCGTTGCACCAATTTTTAGGCACTGTTCCTAAGTTAAGAACAGTATTAAAACGTTTATGGTAAACAGGTAGCAGTGTTGGTAAGCTAGCTTTAATCATTTCGTTTCTTATTTTGTCGGAGTATGCAGATTTGTTATTCTTTAATTTTCTTGCTGCCTTGCTTATTTCAGCTTCTGTTATGAAGTAATCTAGAGGTCGTGATTGCATTAAGACGTCTTCTCGTGTTCTTAACTCATTGACAACTTTCTGTTGCTCAGAAGTAAGTGGCTTATTAGAATGTAGACACTGGAAATAATTCATCCAATTCTCTTCTGCAATTGGTGGAGTGTCTTTGTATTTTATAGTGTCATCCATTGATTTTAAGCAATTCCAAAATTTTTTAGTATCCAAATTGTACGTTGTATCCTCTAATTCTGAGAGTTTATTGTTGTAATATTCATTTCTTTTATGTGCGAGTAGTTTCTTATACTGCTCCGCCCAGAGGGGGGAGAGCCCTGGGGACTAAGTGCTCCGCCCAGAGGGGGGAGAGCCCTGGGGACTAAGTGCTCCGCCCAGAGGGGGGAGAGCCCTGGGGACTAAGTGCTCTGCCCAGAGGGGGGAGAGCCCTGGGGACTAAGTGCTCCGCCCAGAGGGGGGAGAGCCCTGGGGACTAAGTGCTCCGCCCAAACGTTCTGATTTATATACCGTATCCCAGAGAAAACTGCTTGAAAACTATACCCTTTTCAGCAGCACATACCTATATAGCCTGCCATATATGGCACTACCCCCCCCGGGCGGGTGTTTTGTAGGAATTGGCACAAAAAAAACTCTAGTATACACGAGTAAACAGGAATATTCCTAGATAGATTAAAAGATATATTTCAATCATTGAATGTAATTACTCGTGGTTATAACTCATTGAAAATCTTCTTTCTACTGTAATTTACATTCTGTATTTACAGACTGTACTCTTACAAGTATTTGGGTAATTAATCTGCTGCACAAATGTAGTGATGCTAATGACTTTTACTCTGCACAAGAAATCAGAGCAGTTTACCTGTAAAGTCCCTAGCACATAGCTGTTATGGATATTTTGTTATCTATCACACCCTTCCTTGAATACCCAAACTTCGAATAAACACTTCAAATGTACAAGGGAGATATTGTCGAGCAACGTATTACCTGCTATTAAAACTTAGATACTAGCAAAAAATTAATTGTTTGGTACATGGTTATGCTCCGCAAATACAGGAAAACAGAACTGACTACAAAGATTTACAAAAACATCTTTCCCTCGAAAAAAACAGTCACAAGAAATTAGAAGTATCCTTTTCATCCTGTTGAAAAGGAACCCGTGATTATAATAATCTAAACTGGTTATCATCTTTCACCCTGTGCTAATAGGGCAACAGTAGCCAGATTTCGATTTGGCAACAAAATCAGTCGAGAGATTTTGCCCTAAAGGGCCTCTCTAATGTTTTGCCAACTAAAAAAGGGAAAATAAATATTTTTCTCCCCATCCAGTCCATGCAATGTTCTGCCGCTATTCGAGCTGCCTGTAGAAAACAACAATCATTGGCAGCTTCGAAAGGAGGGGAGTGGGAGGGGATTGGATTGTTTTGTTCTCCAAAGTTACCCCATCTGAGGACCGTGTCTTCACAATTTTGTCGTCGATTGAAGGTCTTAAACAGGTTAGAGGGTATCAATTTTTACAGTCGGGATACATGTATGATATTCTTCATTTGTGACTTAAACATATCAGTGCTAAATAACACACAGGTTGGCTTTCTACTTTATTATTTGGCAGGATAACAGAAGAAAGCTAATGCTTTGACTTTAATTCTCATATTATTTTCCTCATTCGATTCTTTACTTTCATGAACTGTCACATTACTCTAGGTTTTCACCACTGGCAAAAGAGTCAGTACTAGTGACATTCTTTCCACGAGTCTCTGAATTAAAACAATCAGTGTTAGTACTGTTACTCCAACTATCCTTTGCGTTACCTATGTTCTCACTTTCCAGTGCTTTGATGCCTCCTTCTGTTACAATTTACTGCTACCTTCATTATTTCCTTGCTTGGAGCTGTCAGTTGATGCTGATAACCAGGCTAGTTTGTTACCGCTTCATCCCCTGGCCACTTTCCAGTGCTTTGTGCTTTGATAATATCATGTGCCTACATCAGCTATTGGGATGAGTTGTTCACTGATGCCTAAACATTATCACCTTCCACCAGTGTGATGTCACCAGCTGTTGCTACATTTACAGGCTGTGGAGTTAATTCTTCACTTACTTTATGCTGATCCTCAAACTTAATTGTAGTCACACACTTGTAAAAGCCATCCTCCTCTTTCTTATTCATTGAACAAAGGTGCAAGCTACTCACGCGCTCTTCCCCGAAATCAAAGTCAGTCCAGGTTGCATAACTTTCCAATGGAATTTTCCTGATTCCTCTCTTTCTCAACTTTGGACTGCGAGTCAATTTCATGACCGTTAAATGGGGGCTGAACTCTCTAGAATCTGTTGATGGGATTCCCTCCTTTGCAAATGTATCCCTTACAACATTTGCCACTGTATTCAGCCTTACAATTCCCTCTTCTCCACAAAGTTTCACAAAGAGAACTTGATGACGGAAGTTATCAAGGCCTGCAAAATTCAGGGTCAAGGCACTATTTAGCAAAACAGGTTCCAGAGAAGTTCTGCATTGATGCAAGACTTCTGTTGCCTTTTGAATTTTCTCCTCATCCTCCAAATGTAGAACTAAGAGGGTTAAGTGCAAGGTTGCAAGTGGAATAAGAGCAGGCTTCAGGTTTTCATCATGAGAAACAATTGAATCCTGAACGATCTTAACACCAGAGTGTATGACAGGATTTGAGACACGTATGGCTATAAAATAGTTTGGTATTATCCTTTTAGGCTTTTTCTTCAGTGTAGAAGGACTGTCTTTCATGTCCACTGCTGCGATATCAATGTCATCATCATCAGATAAACCACTGAGGTGCTTCTTTCTTTTTCTCTTATTCCTCTTCCACAGCTTAGCTTTATGCTTGCCTTTGGCCACCCATCTTACAGCATCTCTGCTTTGCAAGTCCTCATCAAACAGGTTTTTCAGTCCAAGAGTGTCATTATCACTCTCACTGTCATCTTCTGGAACATAAACCCTTGACCTTTTTCTGGTGTCTGTTACACCTCTTAAGGTGTCCTCACACTGCAAGCTCTCATCAAAAAGAGTGTCTAATCCAAATGAGTCATCATCATCATCATCATCATCACCATTCAAAATGTCACACTCCTCATTGCTGACATTCTCAAAGCTAAATGGATTTCCATTTTCAGGGTCATTATCATACAACTCTCTCATCATTGAATCACCAGCTTCATTTGGAGAGTTTAGACTTGGTGATTTCACGGGGAGCTGATCAGATTGTGTCACTAGTGCACAAGCTCCCTCCTCTTGTTGATCATAGTTCATTTCATTCTTTACGTTTAGTAGTACCTCTCCTTGGAAGAAACTGCTGTTAGGAGAATTTATTTGATTCGCTGCTGGAGAAAGTTCTTCATGGCAACATGTTAAATCCATGGTCACGTGTGCTAGGTCCCCATCGCCAAGATTATCCATAGTATTTGACTTATCATGTTCAGTATTTATGAGTTCGTTGCACACTGAATGCTTTATCGTTTTGTCCATATTTAAATGCCTATTTTTATTGGGTGGCCAATAAAAATAGACCGAGTTTCTCCCAATTCCCAGCTTTGAATAACAAAATGAATGTTGGCAGAAGTAGCCATTCCCAAGGCTATCGACCACAACAGAAAGACTTCTTGTCTCTGACGGTTTGTTTACACCAGAGCAGTAAAATCGCACAGTTAACCTCCGGTGACAACGTGGCACAAGTTGAAGCCAGGCTTTTGATGGCCGAAAAGTGTGAAATACCATGTAAACAAATCGTTAGGTTGAATGCGACACACAGCTGTCTTATTACTCCAAGTTGTTCACAAAGAACTCTTCAAGAATCATTACTCAATTGCCCAGGATCTTAATTAGTAGAATCGCAGAACGTCCCGAAAACTCGAGAGTGAAAAGTAAACTTCACTTCCGTTGTAAACAAGGCGAAGCTAAAGCAAAGATTGGAAGGACTGGGAATGGTCCTGGGAATGTATTTGAGATCACAGTCTTCGGTACAGCGGATTCCCACACGAGGATAAAAAAATGGCGGACGGTCAGGTCTTCGTGGATAACTCAATAAAAGAGGTTGAAATAACTTAATTTCTTGTCTTTTGAACGTTTTAAATTTAAAAATTCGTGAATTAATTAGTTTTTTTCTACCTTTTTTTTTTTACAGCGATTGTATCTTCGCAGGAAAAACCCAGAAGATTCAGAGGCCTGCTGTCTCGCCTATCTTTATGGTGAAATAAAACGGGATAAAATTCATGTTATTGGATGTGCCGCTTGTGTAAACTCACAAAGCCCACCAATAAATGGATATCCAGGAATTCCAGACTGGACAAATGAGCAAGATGAATTGTCAAGTGTTATTCCTCAAGGTACTGAACAAAAATGCAGAGATCCCAACCTCTGGAGATCTATTAAGAATGGGGAGACTCTCCCTTTTGTACAACCCCCCGGAATGTCAGGGGACCCCCCCCCCCCATAAATCGATCCAGTCCGTCTTAGCACCCATATTATGACATGGGAATGGCTTAGGAAGTTATGTGAAGTCTGACATGAATTGCATACCATCAAAATTTGCTTTCAATATTGTAAATGACAAAATAATCTTTGTCAGTCAAATACGTGCAAAAATGCCCCAGAAGCTGTCCTGTGGATTAAAAGAATTCTGAGAAAAAATGAGATAAACTTCAGACTAAACACAGAATAGCACATGATTTTATCCGTGAGATTTGGGGATCCGTACGCGAGAGCAGGGCATCGATGTCTTATCTGGGAGACCCCCGGATAATCCAGGAGAGTTGGTATATATGAAAGTGTTTTTTCCTTGCAGTTGGCATAGGGAAGTACCTTGGGACGGAGGGCAGACAATTTTTAGAAGTGTCTTTTAGAATTACATATTTATTTTATATGGGGGTCTCTTAAATGAGTGTGACAGAATCTGAAAATGGGGCATAAATATCCTGTTGGATCGAACCCTGCCATCCATTGATTGAGACACAGAAGGGGTCCGTGGCAATCATGCCATCCATAGGGGAAGGAGGGAGTGATACTCCCCCTCACCTCTCCTCCCCAGCAACCTGTGGATAAGATTTTCAGAAACAAGCTTCAAAAATTCTATCTGGAGGAGTAATTTTGTTGGAATCTTTTGATCTTTTCAATATTTAAGTATGCGTAGAAGATATATATACTAGCTCAGTGATTTAGTTACCTCTGCGTCCTACGTCCCTGACAAATAAGAATCCCCAAAGACACAAAATAATTCATGGCATGCATCCCGTAGAATACAAAGAATGATAAATCGATTTGAAGATTTGATGGTAGAATTTCCTGTTCGTGTGATTCTGTGGCTGTTGTTTGAAGATTCATATCTATTTTAGTCTTTTTTGTGCTTTAAAAAATTATATAGAAGGACTATTTTTTAATTTCAGTAAAGTGTAGTAAAGAGTTTTTGTATCTGTCTCCAGATTAACTGTCTGGCTACATAAGGCCCAAGCATTTTCAATTTAGGAGTCCTTGTGTTTTTAAACTGGGACTCATTGATTCTGGACTGGGCTGGACTCACGATTTTTCACAAGATGAGTCCCAGGACTCACCATAACTATTTGTATCCAAATCACTGCTACCGTATTTCACATAAGAGGAGTGGGATAAAAATGTGTTGGCATTAAAGGTCATTTTATTCATAGGGAAGTGAAGTCAAAAAAGAGAGGGTGTATGAAGTACATTGTAACTTGAAGTATTAAGGTCAGGGAATTGCCAGATAACTGCTTTTACAGGTTAATTGTTTGATACAAGTTTGACAAACCTAAGAGTTAGTCAACAGTGAAATAAAGTCGGTGACAAATTGACTTCACAGAATCTCTACCACTTCTTGTGCCAAACAAAAGGAAGTAAAAGACATCTAATGCTATGCACAGTGTATCTTTTTATTTTTATTTTATTTTTAAAATAAAATGTGATCATGACGGATTAATAGAGGGACTGAGCGCTTATTACAGGTTTGACCTTAACAATATGTTTCTTCTTCCTTTTAGGAATACAAATTTGTGGTATTTTTTATTCCTGTGTAAAGTCTATAAATATTGAAGCTGAAGAATTAAAAAAGATATTTGAAGGATTGTTAAAAAGGGTGAGTGTGATTAATAATCAGTTATGTTAACATTATAATTTATCCTGTACATCTTATACATTTTTCTTGTCACTGAAATCATGTAAATTATCAGTTTTGGTTTTTTAGTTTTTTGTTTACAAGTCTCACACACAATTGTTTCTCCAAAGGGTGCTTCTAATCAAACAAATAGGAAGTTTGTGGTATTGCAACACTGCAGATCAAATGACAACAAAAGATGTTTTATTTATGACCAAGAGCTTGGATCAGTATCAGAGTGTGGAATTCAGGAAGCTGATATTATTGAAGAATTCCTAGAAAATAGGATTTCTTTTAGGCTTCAAGCTAACATTCCTCTATTCATAGGTAAGGACTATAAAGTTTGTTTTCTTCAGCTTTTTTTTTCATACTTTCTTGAGTGGGAAATCTTCTGAGTTTCATGATCGAGGATCAAAAATAATCTGGTTGAGTCAACTCAACTGATGAAGAAACTCTCTAAAAAAGGGGTAATTGTGGTCATTGGTGTGCTACATACATGCAGGTGAAGTGTGACTTGTTGTATCAGAAAAATAAGTGTGACCAGTTGCGTTGAAAAAATTATTTTGCTTGATGCACAAAGTCACACTTCATTCAAAGCTAGTCATGCTATATAACATGAAGTTGAAGTGAAACAACAACACAACAGACATAACAAAAACTGTAAACATGTGCTCTCTCTCTCTCTCCAGGGAGCTTTTTTTTACTTTGAATCACTATTTTTAATGACAGGCATTTTTACTGGATGTTTGGAACACAACAAGAAAATACAAAGTGAGCCAGAAAAGAGTCATTAATGGCTCCAAATGTAAGAAATTGGTTGTAAAGTGCAAGCTTGGGAGGGCACTTTCCTTATACCCCCAAAATTCCGAAAATTTTGGTTAGAAATCAAAATGAAACAGACCGTTTTGGTTTGGTCCAACCAGAATATTTGAGACCACCTGTGAAGGTGGTCCACTTTGACTGGTCCAGTCATTTTGGTCATTCAGACCGGAATGTCCCTTTTCATTGGACAAAAATCAATTGTTGTCCCCAGCACTGCTCATCTGTATTGTGCAAGCCTGACTATTACACACACAAAATTCAAATGTGTGGTGGCTTGGATCGGGACTGCGCAACTGGAATATACCCTTCCACTGGACATATGGAATTTCCAAAATTTCAAACTGGATTATTTTTGGAATGGAAAGTGCCCAGAATTTCTGCCAGTGAGGTTATCTGATATGCTTGTAAAACATTTGTCCCCTTATCAAAGATACATCATCAGACCTGTCATTTAAAATTGAGAAATCATGCAAGGCATTCCAGTCTGGATCAACAGTCTTTCATCTCAAAGCCTGCAACAAGCTGATCAAATATCAAAGTGATGAATTGGAACTAACTTGTGAAGAACTTTTGTTGGGCAAGATTGGATCCGGTCAAGATAAGACTCCAAACCCTCATGGAAATAACAAAAGCAAAAGCAGACAGAAGAGTGCAAAAACAACGTCAACTTCTAACGTGGTGAAAGTGAAGGTACTGTAAGGTTCAAATCTTTAAATAAGAAAGTTTGCCATTGATAGCTTCATCAGGTTATATACCGAAGCCATGTACCATACTATGCCATCATGGCACATTATACATGTCACCTCACAGAATTACCTTTTCTGTCTAGACTGCACTCTGCCTGACTCAAAAAATGACCTTATTCAGGGCTCGAGAAAAACTGGAATTCCACCTTGTCCTTTAGGCAAGCTGCTCACACATTTTGCTCACCGAGGGCCGCTTCTTGCTTGTCTTAGGATCAGTTGACTGAACCCTAACCCATTGGGCAAGTAAGGTTTTAAAGTTACCTGCCCGGCAAGATGATCTGTTTGTCCAGGACTGTCGGACAGAAATTTTTCCGGGCCTTGTCTTTTGGGGTATTACTCTTACTGGTAACCCAGTAGCTGTTTACATTGTGCTCACAGGTATAGATAGGATACTGTAAAATTCCAAAAATAAGCTCAGGGCTTATATTTTTCAAGGCCCTTTTTGAGGGGCTTACTTTTGGAGGGGCTTATATTCGGAGGGGCTTATCTACAGAGGGAAATTTGCGTTTCAGAATCGAATGGGCTATCCTTATAGTTGGAAGTATATTTACCGTTTTTGCTTTGTTTTACTTTGTATTTGAGGGCAATTTTCCAACTACAAGGCCCCGGGGGCTTATATTTGGAGGGGCGGTTTAACGGAGGGTTTTTTAAGTTACCGGTTTGGGGGGCTTATACATGGAGGGGCTTATTTTCAGAATTTTATGGTAGCTTTCTGGAATATAAATCATAAGTGAGAATCCCAACTACCTGATAGCAAACCATTTGACAGCGTGCAAAGCAAGTCGTCTCCTATAACCCAGGGTAGTGGATTTTGCTATCTACAGGCTAGTGAAGTTTTTTGGGGAAGTAAATTTACAGATTGAAGAACAGCTGTAATCAATCCTGCTCAGCAAGCTAGTGGAAATGATCTTTTTGCCTAGTACATGCTAGCTACAACTTGCCTGAATGGGAAGCTGTAAAACTGGCTTTGTTTGCACCCTGGTTGACCAGTTACAAGCATGGTCAGAGATATTAGTTTGGGACTACCATGTACAAATCCAGTTAGCGGTTAGGGAGGAGCTTGAACTTGGGGCTTTCGGATTGCAAGTCCAATGCTCAAACCACTTGGCCACACTGCCTCTCTTTCACTGACAGTGTACATAATTGCAAGTTTACGCTTTCTGAGTCTACAGGAATTTACTAAAAGGGAGCCACTGATGCCAGAGAATTTCACCACCTCAAAAAGAAAACTTTTATTGATGAAAACCTCAGCTATCAAACAATCAATCATGTTATGATTCATTTTAACTTGAAAAACTACAAGCTAAGTATACAAATGTAGGTTGAGTAAATCACTGCACACATTATAATTGTAAAACCAAGTTATTGAAAACATTGAAAACATTGCTTTAATAATATGCAAAATTTTAGGGGAACAACAAAGCGTATTATCGTATTTTTGGAAAAGGCCTATGTCCACTGTGAGGTTGCCAATCACAGCCATTTCCCAAGATTTCAGGAGCTTAGTGGGAAACTTGAACATGATTAGTGACAGAGTTATGCAGGTGTCCCTTTTCTGTATGCAACAAAGGAAATACAGTCAAACCCTGTTAATATGGATACTGGGGGCGATATAAAGTGTCCTTATCATGGGGGTGTCCGTAGTTGTATTAAGTGGGTCATGTTATTAAAGTCAAAAATACAAGTTTTATTTGAAGAAAACTGAAGAAATAAACCTCACAAAGCCGTCATTACGTGGAATAAATCCACGGACACTCAAAAATCTCTCGTCTATATATTACTTTTTCGATACTGTTCTCTGCGTTTTAACTCGTATGTTGCCAGAATAGTCTGAAGTTGACATTTTACAAATCATCCTATCAGGTGTACTGTAGCTCTGGGAACATCGACATGCTGTCAAATGAGGTTATTTACCATCATAAGGAAAAGGCTTATTATAGCACACAGTTGATAATGAAGTTTCAGCATTAGAGAGGTTGACGTTGTTTAAGAATTTGTTTGTTGGGCAAAAAGCAGGTCCATGGTAATTGGTGTCCTTGCATGGAGTTCAACTACAGTGAAACCTATATTAAGTGGACACCCTCAATTAAGACACTAAGCCGGATCCCGAAACGAAAGTCTGATATTTCCCTTTATAATGACACCCTATTCAAGGGACACCTCTATTAAGCAGATGTGGACACTAAAATAAGTTGTATTTGGCTAATTTCTATTGTTAAAAACCTCTATTAAGGGGACACTACTGGACTGAATTGACAATAGTAGTATTGGATTACGTCCTTGAAATATGGATTGAAGTCAGATAGTGTTTTTGCCTTTACAAACAAATTAAAGTTGGTAATGAAAGGTAATGAGCTTGAACTCTGGATACCTTCTTTAAGAACATGCAACTTTATCACAGTACAGAGTAACCGTTGAATGTCGATCATTAACAAACATTGCGCAATTTTTACAACCTTTATTAAGCGGACGCCCTCTGTTAAGCAGACACTTGGGAAGGTCCTGAACGTGTCCGCTTAACAGAGGTTTCACTGTATAGTGGATGTCTGCATGTAGGCTCCAAGAATACAGATTTGAATTTCATAGTTGTAGCTGTAACAAATCAAGAGATTCAATGATCACAGAATCAAGTCATAATAGTGAGGTGTGGTGAGATTGTAATAAATATTATTCTTGACATCTGGCTGGACGTTACAGAAGACAATAGTTATGTATCTGTCTTTTATATTCTGCAGGATGTGTTAGATGTGAGATTACTGAACCAGCTAACGGAAACTGAGAGTGATCATGGAGCATTTGTTCCAATCATTCAGTGTAAAAAAGGTGCCATATAATAACAACTTTATTTAGTACATAATTTATACTTATTATAACTTGTCACTGATCTGATTTCTATTACATTGTATATCTGGATAAAGTTAACTGGTGTTATATGGTGCATCACTCCCTGCTGTTAAGGAAGAAGTGACACAGTCAACAAACTTTTGTTGGATCTCCACAGCTGATTTCTATTTATTTCATTTTTACCTCTTTCATGTAGTTTTGTAGTTTTTACTTAACAGTAGATTAGTTAGTAATAAGTATAAGCAATACAAATTAATAGAGAATTGAGGAAAGAAAAAAGAATTTTGCACATCCCACTGTTAGCATCAGCTACTTGAGTCCATGCTGGAGGCTGAAGGAAGTGGAAAATATTTTAATATTAATATACTTTTTTGTACAGAATGTACATGTACAGCCTTTGTCTTCTACTTGTTATGTGACTCTTTTTCCCGAGAAGTAGGTTGCTCAAAATTTAACGCGGCCAGTATGTTTTCAGCCAGTTGTTGGCACTTAATGAGGAATCCCTTACTGATGCCATAAGTTTTAATAGAATTTGCTATACTTTTGACAATATAGAGCTTTTCTAGACTGTTACTTACCAATTTAGTCTCAATGTTCAACAACTATTGTTATTTTTATTTGATTTTGACTTCCTTTTGTCAGGAAAATAAAAGAGTGAATACTGACATTTCTGCTGTTTGCTGATCTGCAGGTGCTTTTTCTCAAATCAAGTTCAACCTCTCTCTTGATGTGGTGTTGAGCCTTTCAAAGGACACTTTGGTAAAACACTTACCACAGTTATTTATATCCTCTATGTGCAGTCAGCTAAGAAAGATGGGCTCAGTTATGGAGCAGTTCTCAAAGGTAAACTTTTTTTGATTAATCACTGATGTTGTTCAGTGGAACCACAATATAACGAAGGGCCAAGGCCAAGGAACTGGCAAAATTTGTTTGCCATACAATGTTGCATTATAATTTATTGAGGTTCTTTTTCATATATTTTACTGTTACTGGTGTACTGAAAATCATTCGTTATACCGAGGACTTCATTATTTAGAGGTTTGTTTTATTGAGGTTCATTATATTGAGGTTTTACTGTTGCAAGTCTTTTAATGCTCTGGTTATCTAATTCTGTTTCAAAGGAGCATGTATTTGGTATTTTCCTTCAGATGTGAAGCTACCGTGAGTTTTTTCATTTTGTGATGCAGAACGTCAGATTTTCAAAATAATTGAAGACACAGATTGCAAAAGGAAATGAGGAAAAAGGAACGTGAAAGAAATTAAGACCAAAATTTGGACAGTAGGGAAAAAGGCAGTTCATGCGTTGCCTTGGAATAAGTGTTGTTGCAATGCATTTAGGAGTGAAAACTTTACGACTTTTATAAATTTCACTAGGCTTCAGTTTGGTGGAAAAAGATTTTGGGAAAACTTTTAGGATTGTAGGATATTAGATGGAACATAATTTTCATTGGATTTTTCAGGTCAACTTTAGAGTTTTTTATAGTCTATAATACATAGTTGTTGTTTTTTTCATTTTTCTTCCGCTTGCTTGAGTGAATCATGCTTACTCAGGTATGGTTTGAAAGATCTCTTCCCCCAGCAACAGTTACATAGATTTCAAAATCATCTATGAAGTCCTATTAAAACTGATGATGTCACAAGCATCGCAAGGGGTGGGGATGTGCATAGGCAGTCACAGGCAGTTCAGGGGGGTTAATTAAGTGAAATTTAATTTTTCAATCACATTATAGGATTGTTCATTCCCAACTTTGGAAGTGCATCACTTTAAACCTCCAGGGTTTTGTCATTTAGTCACTGCTGTTTATCCCTCTATCATGAGCGATGATACCAGGATGGATGAGAATGATCCTCTTGGTAAGTACTAAGTAGAAAACAGGTGGAAACCAATAAGATTAGGATAACTTGATCAGAGCATGGGGAGCTATTGGGTGCTTGTCAGCTGGTGGTTTTAACCAATTCAAAGGTGCTTTAATCATATTATGAACTTGAATGATCAAACCATCATAGGATCTGGTTAATCAACAAACCTTGTTACTGAAATATTATTCAATGGCAGTGGAAACAAATGTCGCCGGAAGGGCGATGCATTCAGGAAGAGAAGCTTTCTGACCAAGGTACAAAGTGCTCGGAAGAAAAAGAGACTTTTAAAAATTGTATCCAGGTCACTGTTATTCATCTACATTCATTACCTTCAGCAATTTTCTAGAGCACTGGGTAACATTTTACCAAGTCTGTAACACAATCACTTGATGGTTTGATCGGTCAAGTTCATTTGCAATGCTACAGTAAACAAAGGTGATTTGTGCTATCAACTGTTAACTTTGACTTTAACCTCAAATTTCTCAGTTCTTTTGAGAATTTTCAAGTTTAAAATACAGTAGTTTTTTTTTTATTTTCTGACAGTGTCTTACAGGATGGAGCTGCATAAATGTCTTCTTCTGCCACAAAACAGGCCTCTTTTAAGACCATCTAACAGATATGTCTTTGACATTGAACAGCAACAAGGTATTAACAACTTACTATTAGAATAATATTACCGCTAATAGTTTTCAAATATTAGTCGTTAACTATCATGATCGAAATCACATATTTTAGTTTCAGTGTCACGCACTCCTGATCATTCCTCTTGCTGGCTCCAGGGACCCTTCTCTTAAAAAATATCAGTGGGATGAAACCAACTGCCATCCATGGTTGTCATGCAGGCTTTCTGCTCAGTTTTCATGTGAGATTTACTGAAAAAAGAACCTTTTGCACCCCGAGATTCTAACCACTTATCTGTGGTTTGAAAAAGCATTCATTGAATGCAACATAAAAATTTATGTTGTTTGTGTGAAAATTATCTTGTCTTTTATGGTGCAGGTATTTATTTAACAAACCCTCATGTTGGATTAACTGGAGGTGAATAAAAATCTTTTGTCTTTATTTACCAAAATAGAAATTATATAAGTTAGGAAACCACCCCTGAATATGAGTCTTACCTTTCTATTGGGCTACTGAAGTATCTGTTACAGGTCAAGTTTATTTTCAGCTTACATTAATTTTTATAATCAACCTGGGCTATTTTTTAACCTTCAGGTTAAAATTTCAAATATGAGGGTTAATTTTGCTCATTACAAATGAATTGCATTGATAAGAGTTAGTTTTAGAAAAAAATCACTGATTTGGGTTAATAAGCACTCATTTCACTGACTAGGGTTAAGGGTTGATACAGCCATAGATGCGTGTCTTATCCTACCTCCAGAAGGACTGGAAGCTGTGTTTGCTTTGGTCTTGATCATGACTTAAGACAATTCTCTAAGATGGAACAGCCTAAGCTTTCAGGAAAATGTAACCCTCATCTGAGAATTTTTTTTTCTGTTGTTAGCAAAATTTGACAATATAAACTGATCTTGTGTACTTTTTCAGGTACTTGTGGTACAGTGGCAGTTGTTGAGGGGACATATACCTACCATCATTACATGCAGGATAACTTCAATGATGATGTACTGTATGCTTTATAGATGTGTGATATTTATCGTTATCTTTAACATGTTACCTTTACCTTCACACCTCACCCCTTTGCACTCAGATATGTAAGGCCTCATTAGCTACCTAAATAAAGGCTGTTACACACATAATAATTAGCCGATTTCTCTGTTCAAAGGGATGACAGAGATGAAAAATTGTCTTAAAATTGGGGCAATTTTAGTATCAGGTCTACAAAAGTTTGCAGGGGTAAACCAGCCTTAATGTACAGTACAGTCAAACTGTCTAGTATATAGACTTCATTATATGTACTTCATCAAGCACTCTGATCAATTGACCAAAACTATATTTTTTCAATGAAGCGACCTGGACCTTGAGAGTGGGTGCTTATTTACTTCACACCATTTTCAGCGACTAGTAATAATTTTGTTTTACATCAAAACAGGAAATAATAACAAAATGTGAGGATTAGAGAAGAATTTTAGCTGTTGCTAAAAAAATTCAGTCTTTGGGGAAGTCTCTTAGTAGTACTTAGTCAATTTCATTTTCATTGACAGTCAGGTAAATTAGTGAAATCTCCTGTGCTGCCTCTTCAATGTCCGACAAAAAAATTGTTTTTAGAGATTGTGGGTCAGTGAAAAAATGATACTCCTTTTGGGGTTCGAGGTTGGGTGCTCATTGAAGAAATATTATGATAGTACAATGCAGATTCGTAGTTTTTATTTAATCATCTACTTTACTGTCTCGTATAATGCAAATTTTTAGGTTTTTTGTAGCACCTCACAAGATTTTACTCATTGTTCATCTCAGGGGTGGGGTTGTGCCTATCGTTCACTTCAAACCATAGCTTCCTGGTTTCGTCACCAAGGTTACACATCCAAACCTGTTCCAAGTCATAAAGAAATCCAACAAGCTCTTGTCGATCTCCAAGATAAAAGTGAAGAGTTTGTTGGATCACGCCAATGGATTGGCTCTTTTGAGGTCAGCATGTGCTTGGAGCATCTCCTTAGTGTCACATCAAAAATCATGTTTGTGAGTTCAGGAGCAGAAATGCGCAGCAAAGGACGTGATTTGCTTTATCATTTTCAGACCCAAGGGACTCCTGTAATGATTGGTAGGCTAACTTTCATGGCTACAGTGGAACCCGGATGTAATGGAGGGCCAAGGCACTGGCAAAATGTGTTCAGTATAATGGGGTTTTGTTATATCAAGGTTCTTTTCCATATGTTTAATTACTATTAGTGGGGAAAAGAAAAGCATTCATTATACCGAGGACTTTGTTATAGAGGCTCGATCGTTATATTCAGGTTCTACTGTAATATTATTGAGTGATATTTTAGCCTTAAATGTGCAGAGTTTCCTTCATTTAATACATGAATTTTATACCTCTTTATTTTGATGCAACAAACATCAAAGAAAAATTATTAAATAACTTCATGCCATAAAGAAATGTTAAACAAATAGCCCAAAGGGAACTGCTGAAGAGGTTTCAATTGAATATCAACACCCCAGGATTCAAAAGTTAAAACTCAAATTTTCCCAATTTCATTTATTTATAAACTGTAGGCTGCAATGAAAGGTATAATGTTGCTGGCACAAAGAATTAGCCGGCAGCTGGCTATTTTTGTACGGAACATGTCTATATACTGGTAACATGTATAATAATAGTTTTTATAGCCAAAGAAGAAAAGTTTGAAAATATGAGCACATGAAAATCGTGATCAGCTGATATTACCCTCTAGTTGTTCAAACATTGGATGGTGCTATCCACCAGATATATCACTATCCAGTGGATAAGTATTAGGAAAACTAATAATATTGCCTTATCAACTTGATAGTGATTTATCTAGTGCATAGCGCTATCCACCGTTTGAACTTCTGGGGCCAGATATTACTATCCAGCAAATAGGTGTTAGGAAAACCAATATTGCACTATCCAGTGGATAGCATTATCTGCCCTTTGAACAACTTCGCATTTAGGCCTAGCTAAATCTATATGTTAGGGGCCGGAACTGAAAATACATTGAAACATTGGAGGTGTGTGAAAAATTGGTTGTTTCTGAACTGTAACTTTCCTTATCTGATGTCTGGGAAGGAGTAATTCACTTCCTTTTAACACTGTACTTGAGCTGTTCTATTATTATTATAATCATAACTATAACAAATTTTTCAAATCTGATTGGCTATCAACTGTCCTGATTTCAGCCTTAATTGGACAGTTTAATAGGACAGTACACGTCATGCCTAAGTAATTGGACAGTACACGCCATCACGTGCACAGTTAAATGGCTTTTTTTTTCACTGCTAGCAAAACAAAATTTCGAATTTCTTGTGTTTTAATTTAAAAAAGAGCCCATTATATCACAAATTTTGTTAAAGTTATGATTAGTTGGTAACAGAACTTCGTGTCGTCCAATTCGGTCTGTAATCGTACTCGTGATTAAACAAATTTTGTTAATCACTCATATGATTACAGACCAAATTGGACTCCACTCAGTCTTGTTACCATTACTTATTATTATTATTATTTTATTATTAATACTTTATCATCCTCTTCTGTTGCCAGGTGGAGGTGTTCTTGCGCATACCATATTAGGAGTGGATTTTAATGATCAGACAGGTGATATAAGGTGAGCTGCCACTTGTCCTGAGTAACCATCAAAAGGTGCCAAAAAATTCACCAAAACAATCAAGTAAATCCTTAGAAAGCCTGCAAAAACAGCCATTTCTCCTCACTCCTCGCCACTGGGGATGTTGCTCCAGGAGGGACATCTGTGCCTCACCAATGGAAATTCCATGCTGATGACATAAATCAATGTCATCGTCGTCCAGTAGTCGTGGGGTTTCAAGCGTAAATTTGTTCGATTTTGTTTCTCTTGGTAAATTATAGTAAAGTTTTGTGTTCTGTTGCGAATGAGCTCCAGCAAAACTCAAATGCTTCCCCTAAAGATGAAGAAGAATATTTTCCTTGAATGTTGACTGTTTTGTAGTAGATCGTTGTGTTTACATTTGACCTTTGTGGCCATGTCTTCTGTATGTCATTCGTAAACAATAGCTAAAACAATACAACAGCTCTGTGGACCAATCAGAGCTGCCTGACCAGATTTTGGAAAGATTTTTTCATCATCAATATGGAATTCCTGTCGCTGAGGCACCGACGTCCCTCCCAAAGCAATGGATCCCTGGCAGCAAGAAGCGAGAAGAGACAGCTTTTTTCACTGGCTATAGTTATTAATACACTGTCATTTTTAGATCTAACTAGAAGGGCACATGCAAAAGCACTATATTATTTAGGTGCTTTAAAGTTTAGTCTTTATGTTTTGCTTTTAGTTGGTGCAAGTTTTTTTTTTTATGTCAATATTCAAGAAGCCTAAAAGCAGTTCAAACTAAGTTGTCCTTGTTCTAGCAATAAACATGTCACCAAGTTCTCACGGTTTCAATTGGAAGTTTACGAAGTTAAGAAATAAACGTCAGTATGTGTACATGGGTCTTTGAAATCACAGGAGCAAAAAAATTGTACCATGCAAAGGTTATGCCCAAGAGTTTTTGCCATTTAAAACTAACACCATAGGATTTCTTCCACTGATTTAAAAGTTAGAGTAATAATGTTGAACCATAATAATAATAATGAACTATAATGTGATATAGAAGCAAACAGATTAATGGGTAGTGGCAACAGTGATGTTATTGGGTGTCATAGTGAAATGCCATGAACTTAATTAAGTACAAAGTGCTGAAAGTGTTACTTATTTAATTTGTTTTACAGATTTTTAATCCTTGATCCACATTACACTGGTGGGGAGGATCTCAAAGTCGTAATTGACAAGGTCAGTTAGTAATAGAGGAAATTAAATAAAATAATGACTTTTGTAGGTAAAGAGTTGGGAGTGTTAGGTGAACAACACAAGCTGAAGCAAAGGGGAAGTATGACACACTTAGTGCTTTCTTTTTATCCTTGTGTATTCATGGTGGAAATCTTGCTACCATGACTAAGTTTCTGCCAAAGGGAACTGTTCTTTTATCGGAGGTTTGACTGTATAGATCTCTCCATTGTGGCGGAATTAAGGGCTGAAAATTTGGAGGTGATTTAATGTAGAATCGTTTGTATTCAGTCCAAGCCTTAGTCACTTGGGGCACTTACCATAAGTCAGAACTGGCTGGTCAGAATGATAATTTAAAATGAAATATTACTCTAGTAATTGTTGCTTAAACCCATCATTCTCATGCTTATTATTTAGGAGGAGACTGATCTGGCTAGACAATCGTGATAAACAGTGGAATTCTCTTTATCACTGGACTTGTCTTGCTGGCTTGTTCTGATAATTAGTTAAAACTTTTATACTATCACATATAAATGATTGACTTATGCTATGTTGGGAGTGGCGTCAATTATCACTCCCTCTCCTATTGGTCATTTGTCATGATGTCACCTGTGGAATTTTCCACTGGTGAATTTTGTGCCAAATGGCAACCAGGGAAAAAAATAAAGGACTTTTAGAAAGTCTATCTCGCACATAAAAATCACTCTTACAATATTAAAATATTTATTTTATTTTAAGGGTTGGTGTGGATGGAAAGGGGCAGACTTTTGGAATCAGCAAGTTCACTACAACATGTGTATGCCACAAAGACCAGACATGATATAAAACCTAACAATATTTTCAGTCTACATAATAATTTATTTTACTCCAGAAACACTATATCCTTCTCTTACTAGGTTAAATTGTTAATATTGTGAAAAAATATGGAAAATTTAAAAGGAATTTAATTTTATGAAACAGAGTACATTAGTTGAAGTAAATTCCCAGTAGAGTTTTATATGCGCTATCTAAGGAAGGGTTAACTTGTGATTTCACGGAACTCAATAATTCAAAGCAACAAAACAAGCAGCTAATTTGACAGCCAGTTTCAAAAACTGAATATTCCCCCTTGCCCTTAAGCAATTTTCAGTTTGTGAGTTTTCTCATTGAGGCATGCATTGGCAACAGTCTGCAGTGTGGTGAGATATTTATTAGCCTGTGAATACAGCTGCCTCTCCTCGCTTCACACCACTTGGGATGTTTCATGGGAGAAGTCCTGTCCCTGAGGTGCAAACACTCCTCACAGTAAACATCTCTAGTAGCAATGAGTGTGGAATGATGGCTGTATTCGCAGACTAGCTATTTACTTATTCTTTTGACGTTTAGGATTTTGGGAAGCTGCCCTTCCCCCTCCCCCCTAATCTAATGTTGACACTAACTCTGGAAGAAAATGCTAAGTTTGGGAAGGGGTGGGTGAGCATTTTCCCGGAATTATACTGATCCATTCTTTCAGGCATTTAAAAATATATATTTTCTTCTTCATAAATCCTGAAGTAAAATGTTTGGCTTATGAGGAATACCACCTTTCATGACTTTTGTTTTAAGAATGCTTTCCCACGTGGTAACTGCTACCATAACCTCTTGAAAATATTTTGAAGGGAAGGATACATTTCTTAAACAGCCTTTTAAAGCAAACGGCAGGTTATGGAAACAGATTGCACTCTTTATTCAGCCTTAATAGGCCTGACAGATTTTGAGCAGGAGGGATGGACTGGACTTGTCTGAACAATAAATAGAGGTTTCAGTAAGTTGCTTACTAAGGGATGTTTTTTTAATGTTTTCAGCAAAGTGTTCACTATTCCACCTCTCTGTGTTGACTACACTATCAGTGCAACTAGTTATTCTATGTTGTGTTTCTTTACAAATAGTCCATGAGAAATAAAATCCTTTGTTCATTTAGTGGTGTAAATACCAGCTTTGACTGCGTCACTCTCTGTTACTAGACTGAGGTCTTCATTTCAGCCATTGTGATGTGTCTTTTCGAATTTCTGAAAAGATAAAAAAAATACCAGAGAAAATTAGAATAGAGTAATGTGTAGAAAAACTAAGTAGTGAAGTAGTTTGTACAAGAGGTGTCAGAGCCCAAGACTAAATTAATAAACTGAGAAAAAAGTATCTATGTTTAAATTGTAAAGAGTTGTAAAAGTATTACTGTATATAGAACCTCACTGTATAACCTCAAGGTCATATAGACCCAAACTTGTACAATCCGCAGTGTCCAGTACAACCATCTTGCATAGTATAATAAACCACAAAAAAGTTGAAGCCCGTTCAATTTTTTCAATTGTGTGCATGACCGGTGGTAAAGACATAACTGGCGTTACTGCAGATGAAAATTGCGTGACCATGTGACAAGCAAATAGAACGTTTGTGACGCCAACCACAGAGAGAAGCACTTTGTTGCAGTACATGTACAGCTATTTTGAAAAAGGTTGTCGGAAAAAGTGCAGAGACAATCCCGAAAGGTATCGTGGGTGGTTTCGAAGTTCACTGTTCTTCAAAGAAATTTGGATTAATGGCACGAGAGGCCATGGACATATGTTTGTGAGTGCTAAAGGAAAGCAACAAATGTAGGTTCGACAGCTACAGTGTCAGGGGCAGTGTATTGATCATATCACATATTACATTTCTGGATTGTCGCGTGCACATTTTTCTTCTCGAAATAGCTTTATACATTTGCCTGTCTGCATAAAGAGACACAGATTGCACAGACCTTTGGCCAAAATTTATGAAAGAAACCTTTTGTCAAAAATCCCATTTTTTGAATTCCATATCAGAGAAATATGCCACTTATGTCAAAAATTTTAAGTCAATTAGGGTTATTCTTTATTTTGTTTTCTAAGCAAACTAAAGATATTGGACTTGTCTGACTGGTGCTGCTTCAATATTGGAACTCCTTGTCACAAAAGTTGTACTTTGAAATGTAGTAACAATCGTTCATTAATTAGGTGGCACAATTGGCAAATTACGTATGAATTTTTTACTTCTCTTTTCTCTTTACTCGTACAAATTACGCTAATGCTAAATTTCCCAAATTTATAAACCAAAATGCCGCATTTGATGACAAAAACATGTGTCCTTTAAACAGCTTTTAAACGTATCATAATAGCTTTTCTAATTGCTCGATTTTGTCATCAAAATGCACATTTTAACTGCTAATCACTAACGTATTTCTTAAATGAGAAGCTAACAAGAAATTTCAAATTAAAGTGATTACGAGGATATTCTAATTGCCTTCGGCTTCGCGACTGTAGAGCGAAAGATTATTTTAGAAAAACAATAAACGTAATTAATGACTTATTTTCTTTTACGGGTTTTATGTTGTTTTAAGTGATAAAAGGTCAAGTCTGATACGATATGGCAAGAGCTTAATTTACCTCGTGTAAAATCTCTTGTTGCTAATTCTAACCTTGAGGTTAGGCGGAGATGAAAATGAATGAACATTTCTAAAAAGTGAAAAGCTTCCTTGCTGTAGTACACTGTGTTTATGCTATTAACCAGAAAAATTTCGTCCGGGTTTTTTTAGTTGGGTATTTTGTAAATAACAGTTCACTTGATGGAAACTGCTCCAAAGTTGATCAATATCAATTATCGTTAATGAAAAGCAACGAATTCTATTATATTACTAAGGCACTACTCTCAGTTTCATTTTAGGTCAACGTAGCAAAATTTTAGTTAAAACGATGTTCTAAAGATGTAATACTGGCTTGATGAATTTCAGTCATCGTATGGCGTTCTTTTTTATGTTTATCTGTTTATTTATTATTTATTTATTACAATTTAATGGTTACACGGAAAAATACTTGCAAACTACATAACGGACACAGCGAAAATCAAGTCATAAGGATAGTCTGTAAAAGGGATAAGCAGAGTTTGATTTATTCGGACTGGTGGGTATTGACTAATGTTAACTTCGCCGCGAACTACAGTACTCTGAGGTGGTAATGCTCAAATAAGAAACAACGATTGCACTTTTCTTCGGGGTTGTGCTAGGAGAGTTTCATATTTTACTTTAATTTTTTACGTAAGAACTAAATGAAGAAAAAATTCTTACTGACCATACTTTCTAACTGTTAGCAGTTTTATGATATGTTTTGACAAAGAGTAATATTTGAAAAGAACCTTACCCGATTTACGAGGCCAGTCCGGCAGGCAAAAACAGTCCCATCTCCCATGGCCACATCGTCTGCCTTCTCTTTCGTCCAACAGTGCTAAGTATGTCCAAGGGATTTGCCATAATATCTTCAACAACATCTAACATGTCCGACAAAGTTTTGCCGTCCAGATCGGCGAATAAATTCACCGGCTCAAAATCTGGCGGCTGCATGTAATAGTGTGGTAGGTTGCCGTCCTTCAACGCTTTCTTGAGGCGCTCCAAGAGGCCAAAAAACCGCTGTGTGATTTTGTCGGCACTCCATTCGTGAAAGTCCGGATATTTGTCGGATTCGTGAAAGAGAAGGGTCTTGACATGATAGGACGAAAGTTTTTTGAGCTGATCCTCGTTGTCTCTGATTTCCGTTAGAATCCGCAGAAGCTGAACGCGACAACCATCGCTAAGAGCACGCACACGATTTTTCTCCGCCACGTAGAACGACAGCCGCCAGATCATCTCGTTTTGAATATGAGGCTTGCAAACGGCGTGAGAGGATGAGGGACAGTCCCTGCGGGAAGGATCGGTCCGCGAATCGGGGATAACGAAGGCGGGAAGAATATCAACGGATATGTCCTTGTTGATGGTTAATCGAATTACAGGGCCTTTCTCGACTGCAATGCTACTCAGATGCTTCGGAAGCTTTTCCGCGCACTTATCTTTAATGTGAAGGTTCAAAATCTTTACCGCCTTTTTGACGTACCTTCGCAAAAGCGAGTTGATCTTTCCAGCTGATAAAAAACCATTAGTGGTGATGCAGTCTTCCCAAACACTGTAGTCTTCAGAGCTCGGCTGCAGGCGAATACCGCCCGTGCGTTCGTCGCATGCGGTGTACATAGCAGAGCTGGTGCCCGGGGACAGCTGCACTAGCATGTCCATCTGAATGGGTTCTTCTGCCTGCAGACCGTCATACGGGATCCCTTGCGACACTAAACTGTTTGCGCGGAATCTGTTGTCCACTATTTGTATTTTTCGAAGGCATTTATGCACTGAGTTGTAGGCAATTTCTTCGCAGATTTCTTTACGTTCCAAGCTTATCCTGACGCGATTCTCGTAGAATTCATTCAGCTGAACAGCAACGGGGTCGAGCTGGAATTGAGGCTTTTTGATCGAGCTTCGACGACGATCAGGTGTCAACGGAATTTCAGATTTCCACTGAATTGGTGGGGAAGGTAACTCTTCGGGATAAGAATCTTCAGACGCCCACGATTCATTGTCCGAAGCCGACGACACGTCAAGACTTTTCATCGAGGAATTTGGGCTAAGAAGATTCGGGTTTGGCATGTCTTGGCCATTTTCGTCGAAAACTTGGCCACCTCTGTTGTTTCTTCCGCTCCTGCTAAACATTTAATCGTTCGTGGTTAACTCTGTAATCAATATACAACTCTTTGTTTACCAACCGGCGCTTTTGCTCTAAGTCAGACAAACGTAGCGGTTGCTTGCAAAATCTAGCGTGAGTTAGACTAAGATGTGACGCTGTCCGTAGCGTGCTTTGAGACACTGAACCAGCAGTAAACAGAGTACCATTCACGCCAAACGCACAAATTTCAGTTATTTCCGGTGTCCAAGTGACTTCGACGGGTGACAGCTAAAATAATTACTTTCCAAAGAGAACGAAAGATTTATCGCAACAGATAATGGGGACCTCATAAACATAAATTCCTTTATCCAGTCATCCAGATAATAGTCTACGCAAATGGTGTGACTCTTGATTGATCTATCTGGCTTTTCAATTCATTGTCTTTAAGTCTTTGACCAATGAGCTTAGCAGATTTGTCATGTTTCAGCGCCTTTAAACTAAAGTTTCTATAGCGACAAAGAGATCTTGTTTCCGGTCATCTTCACACATATCCTAGTCTATCATCTGTCTGTTAGAATTACATAAATTAGAGCATTGTACAAGAGTGAACTTTTTAAAATCGTTTGTCAGACTCGTGGTATAACGTCTGTAATATAAAGCACAAGGAGATCACTAATTTTTCGCAAGTGTATACTTGTGAAAGTTATGCCGCACTTGTGTGATCTATTTTAAGGCATGTTGTTGACCCCCAAATCATTTGGATGAACCACAATCCGATTTTAGCAATAGCAGCGTTTAAACTTTCCTTTTTTAGTCAACTTGATTAGTGGGGATAAGAGTCGAAATCTTTTTCATAAAAAATATATATTTTATCTCGCAGGTTGAATATTCACAACTGTGTGTATAGTAGACAAAGATCGCGCACTAGTTTCTCACGGGAAATGAAAATTCTGTGATCTTTTTTCAATAGTGTACACAATACAACAACATAGTAGATAAACTTTTGAATTGACTGTTTGTTCTCTTCGGCGCTGCCGTAATCCCTGTCATCACGGTCATGACAACAAATCAAATCAAAGACCAAACCCTTACAAACAGGTTCATTTTAAGTGACTCTCGCAGAAAATGTGACAGTAAAACTGAAATAGGTGCAATAACGGTCCGGCAGCTCCTCCAGACAAAAAGAAAGGCAGCCCCCGGCAAGAGGGGGGTGGGGGGGGGGATACTTAGCGACGTTTCATCGGGGAGGCTCCACCCCGAAGTCTAACCCCTTCCCCTTGTATATTCCATTGTTGACAGTAAAGATACCCCTTTCATCTTTACTTTCCGTATTGAACTGAAAATGTTTCCCTTTCACTAACAAGCTCCTTACAGTAACTATTCTCGTCATTTTAAGGAGAGTTCATGGGGTTATAAAGTGCATCGGCTTTAACTATTTTAAGGAAGAAGAGGGGAAAAAACCTCTGTCATCCAAGGTACTATTTCATAGTACTTAATGAACATCAACCGCAAGGAACCCCAAACGAATGTGCCTCAAAACGTAGGATCTAAAGAAGACCAGATCAGCAAAAATATACGAAGTAGACACACTCAGAATACTGCAATGCTGATCTTACTACTATGTACTCAGTGTGTACTACATACTATGCTAATCGTTGTACGACAGCAGTCGATCGGCTCCTGACTGAGTACGATCAGCATTGCAGAATTCTTAATGTATTTCCCATTTCATACAATTCAATTAACTCACAAAATCCCAACCCGTTTATATATGGGAACACTGGCTGGAAGAGCCCTTTTCGGGTGGAGCCTCTCCGCAAGCGTATATGTAGGTTATTATAGGGGGTATATCTCCACTGGAGAGACAAATGATGCTCGGAGGTCAATGGCTCGAAGAGGTTTCGAGTGAGTCGGGATTCTATGTTGCCCGTCTATCACTGTTGAATTGCGGTGTTGACTCATTTGGGCGGCGCAGGTTACGCCAAATCTGTGTCGCTGCCAAAATTGCCTTTTGGATACTAAGCGGTGGTGCCAAAGCTGCACAGTTTTAAAGATCTAAAATATTGTTGGTTAAAAGGATTGATCTGTCGATTTATCTAACAACTACCCAACGTAAATCAGAACTGAGGTGTCGGCTCCAGAGGCAAGCTCGATTTTTTAGCATCCATCAGTTTTATCTGGAGTCATATCCTCTCGCGTACCCACAAACGTTCTCAGACCCACTCTGACGCGGTGAGTGACTCATTTCACTAGTTTAATCTGTAATTCGAGGTCTGAAAACAAAAATGAATTTTCATAAAACCAATGGTGGTCTTTTGAAGGACTCATGCGCGTCATCGATATTATTTCAGAAAATGTTCTGATTTTGGTACCTCCACTCCTGTTTCAACACTTTTTTCATGCGCCCACACCTCCAACTTGTATATTAAAATTAAAACTGAAAGGAAAAACAGCCAAAGTGGCCGATGACCTTCTTTAGAACATCTTTATAATTCCAGGCTGTTATTTTTCATTTTAATACAAAATAAGAATGCGCTATTTTTCTGTTTTACGCTTTATGTCCTTAATGATGGCCGGTTGACAAAGAATCCTTTCACTTTGGAAAAGTGAACCTTTTTCTAAACTGTTTGTTCTCTTCGGCGCTGCCGTAATTCCTGTCATCCCTGTCATGACAACAAATCAAATCTCTTTTTTTGTTGCCTTGTTTCAGAACGTTTAATTCTTGTGAATTGCCTAGCAATCATTTAAAAGAGGTTCAATAGTCTCAGGTTAAATTAGTTTTCCGCTTGTTACTGGAAGAGGACATTTTTTGCGGAAAACAGTCAAGACCTCCACTCGCGTGAAAAGGAAATTGATTGAAAAGGTCACAACACTGTCTTATGAGCGGTTTCTTCATTTCCTAACTCATTGAGATTGTATTGGGATGAGTTTGGACATTCTCTCTTGTGGTTTGGATCCTTTTGAGTCGAGACAATGACCAAGCCCTTTGAAACAGCTTCGTTTTAAGTGACTCGCAGAACATCTTAAAGTAAAAAAAATTGGTGCAATATTGGTCCGGCAGCACCTCTAGACAAAAAGAAAGGCAGCCCCCCCTCCCCCCAAGAGGGGGCTACTCAGCAACGTTTCATTGGGGAAACCCCGCCCCGAGGTCCAACCCAGCATACTCTGGTATATTCCATTCACTGATAGAAAAAGTACCCCTTTCATCTGTACCTTCTATTGAACTGAAAATTGTGCCCCTTTCACTATGAAGCTCCTGACAGCAACTGTTCTCGTCATATTACGGAGAGTTTGATGCTGTTAATAAGATGCATCGGCTTATACTATTTTAGGGAAGTGCGAGGAAGAAACCTCGCGGAACCTAGGGTATCCTTTCATTCACTTAAATGAACTCACAAAATTCCTACCCGTTTATAGACCGGAAGCCTGACTGAAAGAACCACTTTTCGGACGGAGGCTCCCCGTAAGCGTCAGTCTAAGGTAATCATAAGGAGCAGGAGCCCATATGGGCTCCTGTAAGGAGACAGACAAATGATGGTTTGCGATCGTTGGCTCGAAGAGGGCTCGAGTCAGTCGGGATTCTTTGTTGCCAGTCTATCACTGTTGACTTGCGCGGTTGACTCATTTCGGCGGCGGAGAATACGTCACTGAGAGTTAAATTGCTATTCAGCAATTAAAAATCTGCGTCGCCGCCAATTATTTGGAGACTACAGCTCCTGGAGACTAACGTATATATTGTCAAAGAGACAAAGTTCAAAAATCTAAAACACTGTTCGTGAACACGTGTTGATTTTTCTAAAAACTCCGCAACGTAAATCAAAACTGCGTCCAGTAAGTGTTAGCAAGCTCGATTTCTTAATATCCATCAGTTTACTTGGAGTCATTTCCGTTCGCCTACTGCCACAGAGCCACTCTGACGTGAGTGATTCATTTTAATACTAGTTTAATCCGTAATTCGAGTCTGAAAACAAATCTAAAGGGCTCACACCCGTCTGTGCTGCTCTTTCAGGAAATGTTATGAAAAAACTCAATACCTCGTTCAATCAGTTCCCTGTATTTCCTTCCTTTTTCTTATTACACGTTCACTATAGCTCAGTGTAAAGCAACTCTCTGATCTTAGTTCTAGCGCTGCGTTTTTATGGGCACACATAGTTCACAGTTTTAGGCTCGAACTGCCACTCAAATTCAGTTCATGAATTTCGAGGGAGCAGCTGCGCTAAGTTGATACGTCATTACAAGATCAACCTATTTCCGATATTTTCGATACTGGAACCCGACTGTTTTCCAAAAACACAACGCCAGAGACTTAGGAAAAATTACAGTGACCACTTTGGTCGTAAAAAACGTTCTTACAAGTTCAGTAGAAGTAACTTGAAAATAAGGTTCACATTTTTCCTTAATAGTTTACAACATTTGCTTCAAGTAGTAAACAAATTAAATATGGAAAAAGGCGGTCTTTCCTCAGAGTAAGACAGCTGAACGGATCACTATTCCAATACATATCTTACAATCTTAACGAACAATTCACAGGATATAATTTCATACGAACAACTTTATAAACTTACACCCTCTAATCAAACAGGACAAACTCAAAAATGAGTTTCTTTCCGAAAGAAGGTGTTGGCGAGACTTTTTTAAAAGAACATCAACTGAACATTCTATATAATTATTTTAGCCATAAAATTTAAGTCAAGCCGTAAGCGTCCGTACCTGTCCGGCTACGGGAACACAAAAAGTCTCGTATCTAATAACTTCCTTTGTTAAAATCCCTAAGAAATACACTTTTTAATAAACACTAAAATGCTATTAGGATCTTTCCTATCAAAAATACCAGTTATTGACTTAACACCTTTTTTTAGCTAGTACAATTCACAACAGGTGAACACACCTTATCGAGAATATTTTGAATTAGCATTTCAACGTTCGAAATTGTCTTTTGGAGTACTATTACCGGGGGGGGGGTACTGCCATATATGGGCTATATAGGTATGTGCCGCTGTGAAGGGTATGGTTTTCAAGCAGTTTACTCTAGGATAGGGCATATAAATCAGAACATTTGGTCTAGAATAGGGTATCATTTTTCAGGAAACTGATCAGTTGGTTGAAGATTTTATCTAGACCAGGGAAACAGCTACTCTAGGATAGGGGGGATTTGGAGAGTTTACTCTAGTATAGGGTAGCAAAATTTAGCTGATCTAGCTCTGGTATAGGTTAAGGGTTCCAGAGTGCCAGCGGCACATCCCCACCCAGAAATTCCTAAAGTACCCCACCCCGGGTACTATTACAAGTGGACCGCCTGGCTCAGCTACTGTGTAACTCTAAATGATTACTAAGGGTTAAGCTAGTTGTTGTTTATCGCCCACCGTATTCTGAAGCACACCCCGTCACGCCTCGTGTGTTTTTTGAGGGGAGTTTGGCTCTTATCTCGAGACAATTATTCTATCCCCGGAGTCTCTTATTCTAACTGGAGACTATAATTTCCATGTGGATGCCGAAGGCGACCCTGATGCCAGAGCATTTCTGAATTTACTAGCGTCAATGGGACTGAAGCAGCATGTGAATGTACCAACTCATGTGAGCGGCCATACGCTTGATTTGATGATAACGCGTGAGCAGGATCCAGTCATCTCTAGCGTTCCTGTGGCCGACCGATATCTCTCAGACCACGCATCTGTTTTGTGTTCTCTTAACAGCGAAAAGCCTGATTGTGTTGCAAAGATTATTCGTTATCGTCAACTCAGGGCAATTGATTTTTATGCTTTACGCCAGGAAGTGGAAAAATCCGAACTTTGCACAAGAGAATACAGTGACCTTTTTGAGCTAACGTCTAGTTACAATTCGACACTAACATCTCTTCTGGACAAGCATGCGCCGATGAAGGAGAAAGTGGTTGTCTGTTGGCAGCGTTTGCCGTGGTTTAACAGTGAGATTAAGTGTGCTATAAGGACGAGGCGGAAGGCGGAAAGGAAATGGCGAAGGACAAAATCCCAGCAGGACTTTCGCGCTTTCAAAGGCGCGCGAAACCGCGCAACGTTGTCCGCAATTTCTTGGATCCAAAAGATTTGCTCTGCAAATAAGCGTTCACACTATTCCTTACTTACTGTGGATGATGTTACGTCTCGACTTACCAAGGCGAAAGTGTTCGGCGTAATGGATGCAAAAAGTGCTTTCTGGCAAGTGAAACTCACAGAGAGTTCCAGCTATTACATCACGTTTAATACCTCATTTGTTAGATTTCGTTGGTTGAGGATGCCCTTTGGCATTAGTTCTGCGCCCGAGGTGTGGCAACGCAAAATGAAAGAGCCAATTGAAGGTCTTCGAGGGGGAACAAGTCATAGCTGATGATTCACTAGTGTGTGGGTTTCAAGACACTGCCGCCTAGGCAATCAAGGATCATGATCAGAACTTAACCGCACTCCTCTAAAGGTGCCGCAAATTAAACCTGACACTCAATCCTCAAAAAGTCAAACTGTGAGACATTTTGTTAACTGCTGATGGCATCATTACAGATCCAAACAAAGTCCGCGCTATCAAGGACATGACCACCCCAACAGATGAGAAGTCACTTAACAGATTTCTTGGAATGGTCAACTATCTTTCAAAGTTCCTTCCAAACCTATCGAGTGTATCTGAGCCGCTGCGTTGTCTTGAGGTCACAGATGCTGAGTGGTGTTGGCTTCTGGTTCATGATGAAGCTGTCCAGAATATCAAAAGTCTTGTTTGCAAGGCCCCGGTATTGAAGTTTTATGGACTGGAATTTTCGGCATTTAACCTCTTCGCCCGCAGCCCACAAAACAATAGAAAGGAGTAAAGTGCAGTAAAAATCTGCGAAATCATCATGAAGAAGGCAGCTCTGAGAAAGTTTGATCCTTATCTGTCCTACGGATGTTGACTCCTCTCTGGCCCAAAGGCTTTTCAGAAGAACGCGCAACCTGCTACCGCTGGCACCCAAGCAGCTTGACCCTGTGACAGTGCCCCCGCAAGACGTACAACAAAGGCTAATTGCCTCCAGACAAAAGCAGGCGTACTATATGACAACCTCAAAGGGAAAGCACTGCCTGAACTGCAGCTCGGTCAGATTGTTAAGATGAAGAAGCTAAATGAAAATATTTGGACTGAGGCTGTTTGCAAGAAAATGATTGGACCACAATCATATGCTGTTGTTTCTGGTAACCGCAACAGTCACATGCTAAGGATGGTTGTCAGGTCCTCACTCGGTGTGCATCACCCACTAAGAATTCTGAAGGACCCAGACCTGTTTCAAACAATCCAAGTACAACAGCTCTTCCTGCTGATTTGGCATCCAGTTCTACCTTCACAAGGAGTGGCCGTACGGTAAGGCCTCTAGTCCGTTTTCAAGATTACAAGACTTTAGAAAATTTACGTGTACTTTCCAGTTCTTTATATAACTGTATATAGGGGAGGATGTTATGATAATACGTGTATCATGATGTTACTTTTGGCTTGCATGCGTCACGTGATCTATTCTTATGTAACCGACCTCGTGGTCAAAGTTCGCGCTTGGATGCAAACAGATTAATGCTTGTTGATGTTGTGTTAACCAGTTTGTTGTCTCTCGCCTATCATAACAAACAGTACTAACTTTTTTTTTCTCGTACTAGTAGTCGTTCTCGTCCTCTAAAAGGTCACTAAAAAGTCCCTTAAAGGTCACTATTAGTTAAGTATTAAAAGCATATAACCGGAGTTAATATATATGTTTAATTGTCTAAATAATCTGTTCAAGGTTCGTCCTGTTTTCCTTTGACCTTGTTTTCGCGACGTTCCTACCCTCTCAGAGCCTGACACAGGTTCTGAAGGAAAGTACATATACCCATCAAAGAGGTAATAAAGCCATAAAACGTCGTTTTACTTCGTTGTTGGCACACCTCACTTGTGTGCGTGTACCGATCCCAAGGCTACTTTCGTTTGCTTATTTCTTTTCCTGCTATTTTTGTTTCCTGTTGTGTTGGTTAAATGGCATTAACAACGCCTACGGAACAATTTTCTAATGAACAATTCAACCGGACCTCACTGGCTTTGTAGATTCAAGGCTTTCTTTACTTCATTTAGCCACTTTAAGCTAGCGGCAGTTGCCGGGTTGTGTGCACCAAACAGATCTTGGTTCATTTTGCTTGCCTGTTTCAAAGACTCCAATGCGCCTCCGAAATCTTTCAAATGAAATTGTGCCACTCCAAGTAAGTAATAACTGAATGCTGTGTCTTTGTGACCACCAAGGTCATTCAGCATGATCTCCGTTGCTTTCTTTAAAGACTCCAACGCACTATGGTAATTTCCCATTTCAGACAGTACTTCACCGTACTTTAGGAAACAATAGGCAGCGTCTTTGGTATCACCAAGTACATTTAAGTAAATTTTTGATGCTTTCTCTAGAGTCTCCGAAGCTCCTTTGAGGTCTCCCAAGACATGCTGAACTCCGCCGAGGATGACGTAGCTGCGTGCTGTGTCTTCATGATCGCCAAGCAGTTTTGAATAAATGTCTGCCGCCTTTTTCAGAGACTCTGAAGCCCTCTGGCGATCTCCTAAGTCGCGCTGGACTACTCCAAGGATGAAATGGCTGCGCGCCGTATCTTCGTGATCACCAAGGAGATTCGTTCTTATGTCTGCCGCTTTCTGTAGCGATTCTGAGGCTCCTTTTTGGTCTCCTGTTATATGCTGCAATTCACCGAGATTGTGGTAATTCTTCGCAGTGTTTTCATTTTCACCAAACACATTGTTTGCCGCTTTTTGCAACGACTCCACTGCCCTTTTATTGTCGTTTATTTCATGCTGTACTAACCCCAGCATGTAAAAGCAACGTGCTGTGATTTCATGGGCACCACGCAGATTCGAGTAAATGTCTGCGGCTTTCTGTAGAGACTCTAAGGCTCCTTTGTGGTCTCCCATGTTGTGCTGTAGCGAACCAAGAGTGAAGAAACAGCCAGCCGCCTCTATTTGATCACCACCAATCAGTGTTGAATGCATGTCCGCCGCTTTCTTTAGAGTTTCCACCGCCCTCTGGCTATCTCCTAACTGGCGCTGGACTACACCAAGGATGAAGTAACTGTCTGCTGTGTCCTTGTGATCACCAAGAAGATTCGTTCTTATGTCTGCTGCTTTCTGTAGAGATTCTAAGGCTCCTTTGTGGTCTCCCATGTCGTGCTGTAGTGAACCAAGAGTGAAGAAACAGCCTGCAGTCTTCATCTGATCACCACCAAGTGTTGCCTGAATTTCCGCCGCTTTCTTTAGAGTTTCCATCGCCCTCTGGCTATCTCCTAACTGGCGCTGGATTACACCAAGGATGAAGTAACTGTCTGCTGTGTCCATGTGATCACCAAGGAGATTAATTCTTATGTCTGCCGCTTTCTGTAGCGATTCTGAGGCTCTTTCGTGGTCTCCTGTTATATGCTGCACTTCACCGAGTTTGTGGTAACTCGCTGCCGTGTTTTCATCTTCACCAAGTACATTAAGCTGCATGTTTGCCGCTTTTTGCAACGATTCCACTGCCCTTTTATTGTCGTTTATATCATGCTGTACTAACCCAAGCACGTAAAAGCAACATGCTGTGATTTCATGGACACCACGCAGATTTAAGTCAATGTCCGCGGCTTTCTGTAGAGACTCTAAGGCTCCTTTGTGGTCTCCCATGTTGTGCTGTAGTGAACCAAGAGTGAAGAAACAGCCAGCCGCCTCTATTTGATCACCACCAATCAGTGTTGAATGCATGTCCGCCGCTTTCTTTAGAGTTTCCATTGCCCTCTGGCTATCTCCTAAGTCGCGTTGGACTACACCAAGGATGAAGTAGCTGCGAGCCGTATCTTTGTGATCACCAAGAAGATTCGTTCTTATGTCTGCTGCTTTCTGTAGAGATTCTAAGGCTCCTTTGTGGTCTCCCATGTTATGCTGTAGTGAACCAAGAGTGAAGAAACAGCCTGCAGTCTTTATTTGATCACCACCAAGTGTTGACTGAATGTCCGCCGCTTTCTTCAGAGTTTCCATCGCCCTCTGGCTATCTCCTAACTGGCGCTGGATTACACCAAGGATGAAGTAACTGTCTGCTGTGTCCATGTGATCACCAAGGAGATTCGTTCTTATGTCTGCCGCTTTCTGCAGCGATTCTGAGGCTCTTTCGTGGTCTCCTGTTATATGCTGCACTTCACCGAGTTTGTGGTAACTCGCTGCCGTGTTTTTATCTTCACCAAGTACATTAAGCTGCATGTTTGCCGCTTTTTTCAACGATTCCACTGCCCTTTTATTGTCGTTTATGTCATGCTGTACTAACCCAAGCACGTAAAAGCAACGTGCTGTGATTTCATGGACACCACGCAGATTTAAGTTAATGTCCGCGGCTTTCTGTAGAGACTCTAAGGCTCCTTTGTGGTCTCCCATGTCGTGCTGTAGTGAACCAAGAGTGAAGAAACAGCCAGCCGCCTCTATTTGATCACCACCAATCAGTGTTGAATGCATGTCGGCCGCTTTCTTTAGAGTTTCCATAGCCCTCTGGCTATCTCCTAACTGGCGCTGGACTACACCAAGGATGAAGTAACTGTCTGCTGTGTCCTTGTGATCACCAAGGAGATTCGTTCTTATGTCTGCCGCTTTCTGTAGCGATTCTGAGGCTCTTTCGTGGTCTCCTGTTATATGCTGCACTTCACCGAGTTTGTGGTAACTCGCTGCCGTGTTTTTATCTTCACCAAGTACATTAAGCTGCATGTTTGCCGCTTTTTGCAACGATTCCACTGCCCTTTTATTGTCGTTTATTTCATGCTGTACTAACCCCAGCATGTAAAAGCAACGTGCTGTGATTTCATGGGCACCACGCAGATTCGAGTAAATGTCTGCTGCTTTCTGTAGGGATTCTAAGGCTCCTTTGTGGTCTCCCGTGTTGTGCTGTAGCCGACCAAGAGTGAAGAAACAGCCTGCAGTCTTTATTTGATCACCACCAAGTGTTGACTGAATGTCCGCCGCTTTCTTTAGAGTTTCCATCGCCCTCTGGTGATCTCCTAAGTCGCGCTGGACTACACCAAGGATGAAGTAACTGTCTGCTGTGTCCTTGTGATCACCAAGGAGATTCGTTCTTATGTCTGCCGCTTTCTGTAGCGATTCTGAGGCTCCTTCGTGGTCTCCTGTTATATGCTGCAATTCACCGAGTTTGTGGTAACTCTCTGCCGTGTTTTCATCTTCACCAAGCACATTAAGACTCATGTTTGCCGCTTTTTTCAACGATTCCACTGCCCTTTTATTGTCGTTTATTTCATGCTGTACTAACCCAAGCACGTAAAAGCAACGTGCTGTGATTTCACGGACATCACGCTGATTTGAGGTAATGTCTGTTGCTTTCTGTAGAGACTCTAGCGCTCCTTTGTGGTCTCCCATGTTGCGCTGTAGTAAACCAAGAGTGAAGAAGCAGTCTGCCGCCTCTATATGATCACCACCCAGTACTGACTGAATGTCTGCCGCTTTCTTTAGAGTTTCCATTGCCCTCTGGCTATCTCCTAAGTTGCGCTGGACAACACCGAGAAAGAAGTAGCTACGCGCCGTATCTTTGTGATCACCTAGGAGATTCGTTCTTATGTCTGCCGCTTTCTGTAGCGATTCTGAGGCTCTTTTATGGTCTCCTGTTACCTGCTGCAATTCACCAAGGATTTGGTAACTGTCTGCAGTGCCTAATTCTAACGATTTTTTTCGGTCCCCCACTTTATACTGTAATGCACCGAGATTGCTGTAGCTGCATGCTTTGTTTTCGAGTTCCTGGAGCAAATTTGATCTCATATCCGCTGCTATTTGTATAGAGACTAAGGCGCCTTCATTTTCACCAATTTTACTCTGCACTATACCAAGGGTAAAGAAGCAAGAAGCCGTGAATTCATAATCGCCAGTGTTCATGTCTGCCGCTTTCATTAGAGACTCGACAGCTTCTTTAAGTTTCCCCATCTCATGCTGCACGATCCCTAGTTGGTAGAAACTACGTGCCGTATGTGAGTGATCTCCAAGCACTTTTGATCTAATGTCTGCTGCTCTCTCCAGAGACTCCAAAGATTCTTTGCTTTGCCCCATATCCCGCTGCGCAAGACCAAGGTTTTCGAAACTTGAGGCTGTGTTTTCGTGATCTCCAAGGAGGTCTGAGCTCATAATTGTTGCTTTCTTGAGAAACTCAACAGCAAGCCCGAGATCCCCCAAAGCATGCTGCACCACTCCTAGCCAATGGTAGCAAGACGCCGTGCTTTTGTGCTCACCAAGCAGGTTTTGGTACATGTCTAACGCCCTTTGAAGAGATTGTATTGCTGGTTTTAAGTCCTTAAGAACAAACTGCACAAAACCGAGGTTAAAGTAACTAATTGCCGTTTCCGTGTGTACACCAAGCTGACGTACATTTATGTCTACGGCTTTGTGTAGTGAATCCACAGCTTCTTTGTCGTCTCCCATCAAAAGCTGCACAAAACCAAGTACAATTTGGTGTTCTGCCTTATCATGACCGTCATCTTGAAGGAGGCTTAAAATCGTGACAGCTGCCTTTTTTAGAGACTCCATAGCTCTTTCGTGATCTCCCAAGGCACGATGCACTAAGCCAAGGAGAAGGTAACTAAGATACTCCGTCTGTTTGTGATCGGCTTGAAAATTCAAATTCTTCATATTTAGCACTTTATGTACAGATTCCAAAGCATCCTTGCATTGGCCTTCCGAAAGCTGCGCTAAACCGAGATAAAAATAGCTGAGGGCTGTGTCCACATGGTCACCAACCAGGCTCGAGTACATGTTTGCTGCCTGGTGTAAAACCTCTGATGCTCTTTTGTAGTCTCCCATTTTATACAGTACTCTACCAAGGTTGAAGTAACTACAAGCCGTGTCTTTGTGTACTCCAAGCAGTCTGAATGTCATCTCTGCAGCTGTTTGTAGGGAAACTAAGGCACCTTTGTCGTCTCCCATGTCACTTTGCACCATTCCAAGGGTAAAGAAGCAACAAGCTGTGACTTCATGTTCACCAAGCAGGTCTAAGTTCATGTCTGCTGCTATCCGTAATGATGATGTAGCACTTTTAAGGTTCTTCGTGTCGCGTTGCACAACCCCCAGATGATAAAACGTACGCGCGACATCTTGATTCTTAACAAGCCGTTGTGAACTCAGATCGGCAGCTTTCTGTAAATATTCCAAAGCTCCTTTGTAGTCTCCTTGGCCCAGAAGTTTCAAGCCACGCATGTGGTTGCTGTGTTCTTCGTTTTGACCAAGCACTTTCGATCCGGAAGGTACGTCTGCTTCGCTTTTCAAATCATCCAAGGGTCGTTTCTTGTATCTCACCTCTTGCTCCTCTAATTCAGGGGACGCGAAGTTTGGTACAGTTTCCGTTTGGCATGAGTCAACAAGGGTATGACCTTCAAGAAAAACGTTTTTCTAAATTTAGTAGTTATTGCTTTAACGAATTCTTCAATCATTCTCCACGGCAGAATAGCCCGAGAGTGTAAATACGGAAATCAGACTTATGAGAAACTTAGCAGTAGACCACACTTTCTATGTGTTTACCGGCGTGATAACCCACGCGGGATGTTGGGAGAACACGAGAAAAGCTTGTAAATCACGAGCCGAAGGCGAGTGATTTACAAGCTTTTCGAGTGTTCGTCCAACATCCCAAGTGCGTTATCACACCGGTAAACCCATAGAAAGTGTGGTCTATTGCTTTTATAAAATAACTATAAGTAAAACGGAAAATGTTTCAGTTTTCTATGAGTTTACCGGCACAATAAACCATAGGTTTTTAACCAATCAGAACGCGCGTACTATCTTAGTTATTTTATAAATCAGCATATCCCAGTATTTTTGTTAGGGAATTATTTTAATAGTCGCTTCACCAGTTGTTCAGACAGCACTTAGAGTTTTTTCACTTGAGTCCAGTTTTGGGGGCAGGATATATGGCCTGAGTAAACGGCCGATGCTACCTACTAACTCATCGGTTGTTTTCTCCAGCTATGGATTAGGATTTAACTAAAGAGTGAATGTCTGTAAAAATCAAAGAAATATCAACGTTTGTGGCCACGGTCAAAAAATCGATTCAGCTCATTTTTTTTTGTCGAGGGCAAGTCTGAGGTACTACCTTCAGTATAATGGCACAAGTTTTTTTGCAAAACGCTTTTCTTTAGAACTGAATAAACCGTTAAAAATATTTTTATCGTATTTGGCTATGCGCCAACTCAAAATTTCACAATATTCGACTGAGATAATCGAGTTCGATCTAAAGCATAGTAACCAGTCTCCCTTTGCTATAACTATTCAATCGGGGCCTTGTAACTAGGCTGCCTGAACGTCAGATCCTGTTCATAAAATGGGATTTTCTCCATCGAAAAATGAACACTATCAATTATTAACTCAGTATCTTCAATTCCGGGGGATGACTTGGTAGAGTCTTGTGTAAGTACGGGCTATCCAGCCCTCCAAATTTAGGCGTAATGGACATATACTCTGACATTTACTTTTGCGTTATAACCCTCCTTAAAATCCTAACCTTGGGGGCGGGGGTTACTAAAGTCAGTTCAGGGGCGGATCTAGGGGGAGGGTATCGACAACCCCCCGGAGATGACCTGCGGTTTTCTAATACAACTGGTATTCTGCAAAAAAAAAAATTCTGTGGTTTATTGGTGTTGAAGTAGAGCAAAGACGAGTTCCTAAAAAGAATCCTGGATCCGCCCCTGCAGTTTTGTGAGGGTATCGACAACCTGTGCGGTAGTCAAATTTAGGCTATACTTGACTCGGAATATGACTACCGCACAGGTTGTCAAAACGTCAACCTACTTATTTTCTCGTAGCTTCTCCTCGATAGTCAAGCATTCAGCTGTTTAGTAAAACTTACCTTTTGTGATTCCAAGTAGCATTGCTTGTGCCATGATATCAATCCGAGTTCTTATTTCCTCTTTGAATTCTGCCATTCTTATCTTAACATCGTTTACTTCTGTTTGTAACTTTAACTCTATATCTTCGAGTGTTGCCTTGACATCTTTGACGTCTGAGCCGACACCAGTCACTTTAGAGTCGATTGACTTTAATTGAGGTTTTATAACTTTTACGTCTGACCGCGTCTCTTCCACTGTTGTTTTCACCTTTGTTACTTGGTTTTTGACGTTGTTTATTTCTGTCTTTACACCTGCTACATTTTTGTTCACTTCTTTCATTTTGGAGGGTACATCTTGCAATTTTGTATTCATATCTCTTACTCGAGACTTCACATCTTTAAGGTCCCATGCCGCATTGCTGACTCTTGATCTTACGTCTGCTACACCGGTTTTCACATCTTTGGTATCTGATCTGATTTCTTGTACATTCGTCTTCAAATCTGTCACTTCCCCCTGTACAGGTTTCACGTAAGACCTAAAGTCTTTAATAACGTTCCTCTCGATTTCCGCTACTCTAGATTTGACTGATTCATTCGCATTCTTAAGTTGTGTCTTCACATCTGTCACGTCCCTTTGCATATCCTTCATGCCTGACCCTAGACTTGCCACTTTTGATCTCACATCTGTTACACCACTTTGCACTCCTTTCACGTCAGAACCGATATCCTCCACCTTTGTCTTCATTCCTGTTATTTCAATTTTCACTTTCTTTACTTCTGACCGGGTCTCTTTTACTTTTGTCTTCACCGCTGTTACTTCAGTTGAGAGTCCTTTCACGTTAGACCCAACATCTTGTACTTTTACCCTAACATCTGCCATACCAATCTTTATTTTTTTTCCGAGTGCTTCGATATCTTCTGTTTTTGTCTTTATGTCAGTTACTCTTGTTTTTATATCTTTGACGTCCAATCCGACATCTTTCGTTTTAGTTTCGATTGATTTTACGAGCGGTTTCATGCCTGTGACCTCATTCTTGACAAAGTTCACGTCCAACGTTACTCCTGCCACTTTGGTCGTTACACTGATTACCTCAGTTTTAACATCTTTCACGTCCGATTTGACGTTTTCTAGCTTTGTATCAATATCTGTTATTCCTGATTTGACAGCATTTGCATCTGACTCAGCAACTTGCAAACTTTTCTTTACGTCTGCAACTCCAGAATTCAAAACATTGGCTGTTGAAATGACACCTTTAAGGCTAGTGTTGAGGTCTTTCATGTCTGATCCGAGATTTGTTATTTTCGCGTCCATTTGGGCCTGATTATCTTCAATCTGTTTAAATCTCTCTCTCCTCAATTCTTCCTCTAACTGTTGAACTCTGGAAGTGGGAAAATCTTTCTCACCAAGCTTTCCCACATCATCGATTTTTGTCGTACTTTGTCCGAGTGCCCTAACGGCATCTTTGGAAAGCTGTATGTAGTTATCAAATGTTGCCTTGTCAATCTTCTGTGTACTTGTTTGGTGGCAAAGAGAGTTTCGCAGCAAGCGCAGCTGGTCCAAAGCCAAGGCGAATGTCTCAGCTTGGTTTCCAGAAGGGCTGATAACGGAGTGGTGAAATGTCCCTGGTGACCGTAAGCCACTCGGTTTCAAGAACAGTTTGTCTAGGGTAGCAAGCCCTCCTCTCCCATCTGGCATGGCAAAGCTTTCAGCATAGAGTGTAGCTTCAAACAGAGCTGTACAGTCCCACTCCATAAAGGATTTACTGGTTGGCACATTCAGTTTTCTTCTTCCCGGTCGACTTTCTTTGTTGAGGAACAAGTTCCGAACCAGTGGCGAGTCATCCCATAACTGAAAACCAGGTGGAGGAGCGGTTTGGTTATTCCACAAGAACTCAAAGACTTTGCGCAGGGCGACTGGAAATTCGTCAATAACAACAGTGGAAAACTTGAAAAAGTTCAGCTGATCAGAAGAAAATGTCGTCATTGTTGGACGCCTTCCAAAGACTATTTTTGTTGCCCTGGGAAGTTTCTTTGGCCAGTTTGAATAGTTCGTGAAGTGAAACTACAACCAGAAGTACCAAGAGTATCTAAAAATGAAAAGAAAGTAGGTAGAGAAAAACATGTTTTTCAGTCCATATCTGCATTCAAGCAAAGTGCTTTTGTTTTATATATTATCATTTGAAAAAAGGCTTTATTACCATAATTCCTTTATTAACCACCCCTCTTTCAAGCCCCCCTTCCCTTCCCCTTATTATTCTTCATTAATAAATGATGGACTGTGTTCATCAATCACGACTGTAAAACTTCTTGTGGACTGATCCGGGATGGTTTATTCACCAACTGGAAGTTCAGATTTGTTTTTGGTTCTCGGCTGTATGACCTTCAAATTCTTGTACTTGAGCGCTTCCACTAAGTTATGATAGTTATTTAAGGAAAACTGATACCAAAATAAGCCCCCCGGGCAATCCCCTTAAATTGTTTAAAATAAATAAGCCCCTGGGGGGCTTATTATAAGAGGACTTACGGGTTATCTTCCTTTCAAGTACCAGGAAAAACACTTCTGTTCATCTATCATCTAGAACCTTTTTAATTTAGTTTTGAACTTCTTTGTACTTCTCCATGAGTAGCAGGCGTTGAAATGGGAGGGAAGAAAAGGAGAAAAGAGAAGGGAGACTGGGAAGAGAATGAAAGGGACACAGCCGCTGACGTCCGCAAATCTGATTGGCTGGACCACAACGAGTAAATTATTAACTTGTAAGAATCAACCGTGACAAATGTGGACTGTTGGCACCACAGGGAACCTCCATACGATCGTCCAGAAAAGTAGTAATCAACCGCAAATGTAATACTAGCCATAAATGTAATAAAAGTCAACCATAAATTTAATACCAACCATAAATGTAATAAAAATCAACCATAAATGTAATAAATTATTAACCATAAATGAAGTAAAATTTTTACCATAAATGTAATAATCTGGCTCACTATAAAAGTAATAAATTTTGACCATAAATGTAATAAATAGTCCAACTAGTTGGATTTTACTAAAACAATTATTCCTCTCGCCCTCGTGGCCTCTGAGTCAATAGGGAGCTTTATAGCAACGACGACGGTGACGGCAACCAGGACGTCAAAAAAGCAATAGGTTTATTACGCAAAACAACAACTTTGCACGTGCATCACGCTTTTTTGTAGATTTCTTCACCGTCCTTGCACGACTACGGCGTGAAAATGCCTAATTGCAAGTTTTATGGAGGACGTAAACAAGCGACGACGAATCTCTTTTTCTCTCTCTAAACTTGAGTGCGGTCCTCAAGAAATCAACTCCAGGGAAATTCGCCTACACTTGCCATTTTCCGCAAACTGGAATAAACGCGACAAAGATTGAAAAAACGGGAATTCATTTTAAAACTGACGTTTTCGCTGCTGTTGCCGTCGTCAATGCTAAAGCTCCCTAATAGCCGATGAGGCCGACGGCCTTCGGCCTCATGCCGGCTATTGACTCAGAGGCCACGAGGGCGAGAGGAATAATTGTTTTAGTAAAATCCAGCTAGCTGGTCAAAAATATCGAGAATAAAAAACTTTTAGCTAGTTAAAGCTAGACTTTAATCCTTTTTTGCCGCCAAAAAGCCCGCGCTTTTCGCTACTAGTGGGCTATAACAAAATGGCCTAGTAGTAGCTCAACCAATCAGAATGCAGCATTGATAATACACCACTAGCTGGATTTTACTAAATAGATTTAGGCAGGGCTAAAAGCGAATCGAAGCTCTCGTTAGTATCTATAGTTCACTGAAACAAAATATAAACTGGTGTCATGCTGAGCAGCGACGGCAACGAAAAAAGCCAAAAAAAACAGTAGGTCTAATTAGCAAAAAAACAACTTTGCACGTGCAGAACACTTTTTTTTTGGACAATTCTTTGCCGTTGTTTTGCACGACGACAACGTGAAACTTCCAGACACTTCCGAGTTACACGTTTTATGGAAGAAATGTTGTATGTGGTCCTGTTGTTCACTTTTTTTTCGCTGCCGCTCACTGTCACCTTCAGTGGCCGCTAGCATTTCTCATTTACTCACCGCCTCTATAAAATTTTCATGTTATTCTTAAAACGAAATTGGTCTCCTCTGTTTTTTTTATCTCTGGCTCTAGTTCTTTCTCTGTAGACATTAAAATTAAGTCGCAAGAAAGAATGAACTTTGTTGTTGTTGTTTTTTATCTTTAAAAGTCCGGGTGGCTATGCAATGTACCGCCGAAACGCTCGGGTACTTGAAATGTAAAATTTCACCCCGGCTTGCATGAAGGGGTGGACGTACGTACGGACGTACTCCGTACGAAAGATTTTACCGTTGGTGCTCCGGTATAATGTTATTACCAATGAAGCTTATGATTGCCAAAGGGTTGTCATTTGTTGTTCAGTAGTAGAAGGTTAATTTTTGTTATAAAAACAAGAGAAGATTGGGTAATAATAAAACATACTCCTTCAAGGTAGCTTTCTGTTCATATTACCAATCCGCTTTTCATGTATTGCTATTACTTACTATAATTACTTAAATTCGCGATTTTAGTCAGACAGTGTTTTGCAGGGATGTCGTTTTCAACTCTGTCAGTGAAAATTAAATTTTGCGATCCAAGCGTTCTCAACTTCAAACAATCTAAAATTTTCAAAAAATTTCTAGATAATCGGGAACAAACAAAAAGTATATTCAAAATATTAACTTTTAAGGCAAACTGGAAGAGGAAAAACGCATAATTTGTTTGAAAATTTACTATTAACTAATTTGGAATTTATCTGCACATGATTTTCCCCTTTGTTCCTCAGTTGATTCGGATGGTAAGAGTTTGCATTTTCTCGACTCGGAGCAGCTAGAAAACTGTCGTTCTAATAAGAGGAAGTAAGAAATGGGTTCATTTTAGGACTCGCGAAACAGGTCACTGCCTCAGGTTTAAATGTGTTATTTGCAAGAGGGAAACAACTGCAAAACCTCAGTGGTCTGTAGCCTGAGTATCAGGCCTTCCTAAGGGGGCTAGGGGAGAGGAGATTTTACCTGATACTCAGGCTAAGTGGCCTGTTAACTGGAAACGGCATCATTCTGAAACTAATACGTTACTTTTGAACAAGACTTGACTTGTGAGGCGGGGTAATTAAATTGAGCAGTTAACTGGAAATGACTTGACGTTGGAAATGGAATTGCTTCCACATCAGTAAGTCGTTTGATATGTGGCATAGATTTTGTCGCAATGTGTGCGGCGGTACGAAACTGGATCGGATGAAGAAAAGAAAAATGCCTTTCTTTTTCCGTTTCTTCTCCGCGCGAACAATAGAAAAAATATTTGGCAAGTATTTTTTCTATTGTTCGCGCGAAGAAGAAACGGAAAAAGAAGGTACACTATTTAAATTTTGTTCCCAAATCGTTGTGGTAATAATTGCAGGGGCGGATCTAGGGGGAGGGTGCAGGGGTGCGCACCCCCCCCCCTGAGATGACCTGCGGTTTTCTAATACAACTGGTATTCTGCCAAAAAAAAAACTATGTGGTTTATTGGTGTTGAAGTAGAGCAAGAGACGAGTGCACCCCCTCCTAAAAAAAATCCTGGATCCGCCCCTGTAATTGATAACAATTGTCGGTCTCTGGTCTAGAAAGCGGAACGCATAGGTGATCGCAAGGCTTATAGGGATAGAGGCAGACAGCCGGAAAAAGTTTTTGTTGATCACATACAATGGCTCTTGAAATCATAAGTACCTCTTAAACATCACTCGTTCTCATGCCGTGAAACCAACTCGCTTTGATGCGAGTTTCTATACTTATTATATTTATGGTTAACATTTATTACATTTATGTTGAGCCAGATTATTACTTTTATGGTTAAAATTAAATTTTATTACCTCTATGGTTGGTAATTTATTACATTTATAGTTGATTTTTATTAAATTCATGTTGGGTATTACATTTATTTTTTACTTTTATTACATTTATGGTTAGTATTACATTTACGGGTAATACACTTGTATATGAGCGCCTCAGCCTAGCAGAGTGCGATGCAGGTATCAAAGGAAATTCAGTTTTTTTATATAAAATAATTTTGCCATTTACTGTTTTTACAGACTAAAAATTGCTCTGTGTTTCAAACATGGTGCAGGCATAGAGGTAAATGTGTTTTATTAGCTTTAATAAGCTTTGGAAGATCAAACTAGTGTCCTTACCCTTTCTCGACCTTTGGCGCCTCGCGCCTCCTTCCTCTTCTCAGATGGGCCTTCCAAGGCAACTAGTTTCCACGAAAGCAAAACGTTTCCAGGTGTGGATGTATTCCTACACGTTCTTCACACTAAAAACATCATATTGGAGGGAGAAAGTTGATGAATATTGTCGCAATGGTAAACAGCCAATAAACGGAGAAGAAAATGTTTTAAATAGTCAACTGGTTTACAACTTCTGCGTGATTAAGTTGAGGTTACAGAGATCATGACTGATACCTAACGATAAATGGTGTTTCCAAAAAATCACTTACTATTATTGTTAGCTACTATAGGCCATGACTCTTTGGGTACGCAGAACGCAGCGCGATATTCTTCCAGTTTTAAACTATATGATTATGGATTATTCGCGGATTCTTCATAGATTCATATACTGTTGAAATAACAGCTGGCTGATATGCACTGTTGTTTCAATATAATAGTCCAAACGGAGTAATGAAATCTGTTTCACCCTCCTCCGGCCAGGCCTTTCACAAATTAGAATGGAAATGTAAAACAAAGTTACATAACTAAACGAGTAGTCTTTGCTGTTTTCATTGCATTATGCTGATTTCATAATGAGAAAATTGTCCGCCCCGTCCTGACTTGCCTAGGAGTGTTACTGACATTATTCCCCGGAACGGTTCTTTTCTTTATAGGTCCAGTCAGAGTGTTTGTTTTAAGACTTAACCCTATTCAGACTGGGGGGGGGGGGGGCTTTTCGAACCCCCCCTCCGGCAAAATCGTGATAACTCCTACACCAAAAGAGCTATGACGTTCAAATTTTCTGACTTTTCCTAAAA